AATAAACTGTTTGAAAGTTGACCATATATTCATTCTTTTCTCCATATAGTGTATAGTGTGTGTTATATATTTCCTTTCTTTCTTTATTTTTTTTTCTTTACTACTATCATACCTGTCACCACTGTCAGTGTTAAAAACATCACTTTACAGCCAGGAGCTAGCTCCAAAAAGTTTGTTAATCTAGCTCCTAGAAATCCTGTTATCATAGTCATCATAATGTATCATTTTTATGTAACAATTTTTTTTAGTCATCGGAAAATGTAAAAATTCCCTCTAAGATTGTACTTGTCGTTGTTGACCGTTATCGTTACTTACATTTCCTGCGTTTCGATTCGCATTTATTCAAAGTAGAAGAAAACAAAAAGGAAATAATTGTATACTAGAAAACTTTGAAATAGAAATGATAAGGCGAAAACGGCCACAAAATAGCAGGAGCCGATTACCCCCTCAAAATAGTTTCAGTACCAAACAATCAATATAATAACAAATGAAACAAGTAAAATAAAAGTTAAGTAACAGAGAAAATTGAATATAAACATTAAAAATAAAAAAATAAGAATATAATAAAAATTTCCTGGCTATGTACGGCTTCTACGCTACTCGTATGTTAAGAAGTTTAAATTAGAGTTCGGATTTAGCACACTACCAGGAAACCATAACCCAGAGCCTTCATCTCCTGTATAAACCCTACAAGACAACCTTTGCCCGATTTGCCTGTATCTTTTTATTCTTGGGACCTCGACACCGACTATTCGCTTTATACAGGGGTCCAAATTTGGACGAATGTCAGATCCGGCAGGCTTGAACACTTGGTTTCGATCAATTTATTTCGCACTGAGCCTCGCTTTGTATAAAGGGCTCACTTAAACGTAGAAATGCCCCCTAGTCCGGTTTTTGTTTACGCTCAAGCTCTTTCACTTTTAGAAGGATCGCGGGCTCATTTTCACAGACAAATAGTTTAGCCTCGTTTAGGCTCAGTGTGGAGTTTCCCGTAGAACCTTTCGCGGTTCACATTTCCGCCTTCGCTTTGTTTCTTTGATGCAACGCAGACATAATAGAAAAGGTAAGAAGTTTTCTTTCTGTTGCAATATCTGTTTTAATTTGTTCTTAGCGGATAGTAGTTGCCAATTTAGTGTAATAAAGCCATATTTTTCATTTTTTTATTGTCTTTGTTTTTCACGCATGTTTGTATTTCACCTGACTTTTGAAATCAAATGGCGTTTCAATGCCCGGAGAAGCGAATTTTTTTATTTTTAGTGTAAAAGGAGAGGCAACGCACTTGTACAGTTCGCAATGTGAACCAGCTTTTATACAGACTGATGGAACCATTATGTTATAGAGCCGCAGGTTGACTCAAGTACGAGTAGAACAGTGAAACAAAACACCTCATTGTCAGCCCGGGGGGGGGGGGGGGGGGGGGGATCCTCCCAAAAAAACCTTTTTTTTGGGGGGGGGTTTTGCCGGAAGGGGGGGGGCCTTTTTTCGGCCCCCGGGGGTGTAAAGGGGGGGGGTTTTTTTGGGTGGAATAATCCAGGGGGGTGGGGAAATGGTGCGTTTGTTTTTGTGTTAAGAAATTTGACTGAAAAATGGGCAGGGGTTT